ACTGAGATAGAAAATACATTAAACAAAGGATATGAAGTTTTAATCTAGAAGGTCTCATATCTGACTAGTGAGAGTGTCAGCAAAAGAGAAAATCAAAAGAACCAAATTATCTACTAGTGGCAGAACCATCCTTACAGTGAAATTCTATTGGCTTTGCAATATTTTGTGTATCGGATTTGATATCAAGTTTTCTCCCATCAAAAAAATAAAAATGGCTATAGCAGTTTTAGGTCTCACATCCACACATCTCTGCACAGAAGAGCTTATCTTCTGCCAACTACCCATCATTCTAGGCTTCTTTCTATCAGGACAAACACAGGTTAACAAAACTACCCCTGATCCAATCACTATGGCCAGAAGAATGTCATGTTCTGACTGGGTATCACCTGGATTACATGCCTATCCCCCAACCATCAATCAGAGAAAGAGGACAAGGAATGTGTCACTACTCAATAGGGATTTAGGGAAGGGATGCAGGAGAAACAACACCCAATACAGCATTACTGTACATTTCAGTATATCAAGTATAAAGACACATCATAAAAGTTAACAAAGAAGAAAAACAGGCCATCTAAAAAGGAACAACAATCACACAAGTATTAGCAAAAAAGATAGTGTGGCGACTCCTCAAGGACCTAGGAACAGAAATTCCATTTGACCCAGCAATCCCATTACTGGGTGTATATCCAAAGGATTATAAATTGTTCTATTATAAAGACACATGCACACATATGCTCACTGTGGCACTGTTTACAATAGCAAAGACCTGGAACCAACCCAAATGCCCTTCGATATAGACTGGACGAGGAAAATGTGGACCATAACACCATGGAATACTATGCAGCCATAAAAAACGATGAGTTCATGTCCTTTGTAGGGACATGGATGAATCTGGAGACCATCATTCTCAGCAAACTGACACAAGAACAGAAAATCAAACACCGCATTTTCTCACTCATAGGTGGGTGCTGAACAATGAGAACACATGGACACAGGGAGGGGAGCATCACACACTGGGGTCTGCTGGGAGGGACTAGGGGAGGGACAGCAGGGGGTAGGGAGGTTGGGGAGGGATAACATGGGGAGAAGTGCCAGATATAGGTAACGGGGGGATGGAGACAGCAAACTACCTTGTTGTATGTACCTATGCAACAATCCTACATGATCTGTACATGTACCCCAGAATCTAAAGTACAATAAAATATATATATATTTTTTTTTTAAAAAAAGAACCATGGAGCAATGCTGTCAATGATTTCAGGAAAAATGACTTTCAACTTAAAATCCTCAATTCAAAAATCTGGAAACAACAGATGCTGGAAAGGATGTGGAGAAATAGGAACAGTTTTACATTGTTGGTGGGAGTGTAAATTAGTTCAACCATTGTGGAAGACAGTATGGCAATTCCTTAAGGACCTAGAAATAGAAATTCCATTTGACCCAGCAATCCCATTACTGGGTATATATCCAAAGGATTATAAATTGTTCTACTATAAAGACACATGCACACGGATGTTCATTGCAGCGCTGTTTTACAATAGCAAAGACCTGGAATCAACCCAAATGCCCATCGATGATAGACTGGACAGGGAATATGTGGCACATATACACATGGAATACTATGCAGCCATAAAAAACAATGAGTTCGTGTCCTTTGTAGGGACATGGATGATCCTGGAAACCATCATTCTCAGCAAACTGACACAAGAACAGAAAATCAAACACCACATGTTCTCACTCACAGGCGGGTGTTGAACAATGAGAACACATGGACACAGAGAGGGGAGCATCACACACTGGGGTCTGTCGGGGGAAATAGGGGAGGAACAGCAGCAGGTGGGGAGTTGGGGAGAGATAGCATGGGGAGCAATGCCAGATACAGGTGATGGGGAGGAAGGCAGCAAATCACACTGCCATGTGTGTACCTATGCAACAATCTTGCATGTTCTTCACATGTACCCCAAAACCTAAAATGCAATAAAAAATATAGTCTGCATATTAGAAATTTAATAGACAATGAAGTTTTGTCTCAAAAAAAATCCTAAATTCAACCAAATCAATAAAATATGAGGGCAGAATAGGAACATTTTCAAAATGTAAAGATTTCAAAGTGCCCTCTCTAAGGTAATTTCTTAAATATGGATTATATTGAAACTAAGGAATGAACCAAAAAAAAGGAAGACATCACATCCAGAAAGTAGCTACAACCCAGTAGAACAGAAAGAATATAATCCCTAGATATATTTCCATATTTCCTATAGAGATACAGCACTTATATGTATCTTTCTGTAAATATTACACTGTTCACATGACTTAAAAAGAAAACACAGAGAATTGGAAATAACTATATTTTCAGGAAATAATACAATTATCTATTAAGCTAATTAAACTAGATAAGAACTGAAGTTACATTTCAATAGTAAAGAAATTCTAAAGAAAAGATTAGCCGCATGAAAAATATTTTGCAAACAGCTTGAGACACATACCTCTCGCTGTCACAGTCGCCTGCTAATTTATTAGACAAAGGCTTATTACATTTCTATAAGGTGTCATGATTTGTACAAAATAGTTAAACCTGTAACTCTACAAGTTCTTCCAAGTCCTTCCTACATTTTTTAAGCATTTAGTAAATTAAACTCTTTGCAAAAAGGAACATCTATTAAAAAATTAGTCTTAATATTTGTGGGGAAAAATGTTACAAAAACAAGACTTACACGTCAAAGTTGTAAAGCTGCAACCTGTTATAAATAAATGTTTAAAGTAAAAATAAATCTAAATGCTTTCAATATTCCACTAATATTCAAAGAATTTAAAAATGCAGTTCTTTATTTTTCTTAGAACAAGACTAACTTGAGAAATTATAGCTTTTCTAGATTCATTTTTTTCATAATTACTCAGTTATTCATTAGAATATGTAAGACCTCTATTGGAATCTTTGCACCAGTGTTTCATAAATGAATTTAACTATAAAAGCCTAGTTATACAATCCCTTCCATAAAAGCGCTATATTTCTGATATTTATGTCCTTAAAATATCCTATAGCAAAATTAATATTTCTACACAGGAAAAGAAGGAACTATTTAGTCCCAGACAACTTGATAACATATCTTTCAACTATAATTATCATGTACAAACTTCCAAAGCTGAAGTTGTCAAGACTTTAACATTAGCATTAATTTATGTCATAACTGATGGTTACCATAAAGATAATAATGGTAAAGCATCCATTTCTCCAAAGACAGCGTGGATGGAAAGGAAAATTTCTTCTTAATTATTGCTAATCTTCCCATTTTTAATTAGATTTACTATTAATAGCAATTTATTATCTCTCCCTTTCTTGGAGAGCTGTTATCAGGGAGCTTCTCCAAAGTGATCAAGTTTGTGATTTTTAAGCAACCCAATTACTTCAGTGTGAGTCTCATCATTTTATAATATTGGTTTATATTAAAAACTTAATGTCCAAATTCTTTGTACCTTGAGAAAGAAATTCTGAAAATGCAGGATTTGCACTCAGTATTTGGCACTTCAAAGTGAATACTGTCAAGATCATAACTGCACCCTTATGAAGACACGACCATTAAAAGTGGAATTCTTTTAACCCTTCTACCTTGTTTGACAATCAAAATGTTTATTAACATGTATCTTCCCAGAGGAAAGAAAGCAGATCCTTGTTATTTCCTTTCAAAAGTATCTACTTCTTATGCTCTCCATAACTAAGTAGGAAAATTTTGTAGCTACCCTAAGTGTTTTTCCTATCAGTTTCTCTTTAAAATAAAAATAAAAATGTTCTAACATACAAAATAAGAACTATTTTAGTCAACAAATTTTAAAAGAATTTCAGTGCTTATATTTTTCAAATAAAAATCCTCAATTAAGTTTTGATTTGTATGAAACTCAAGTATGTCATTTAAGTAGCTACTTGAGACTAGAAAATTTTCATGACACAGGTTCATGAGGTAACTTCTGAAAAAAACTGAACTTCTCTGAAGAGCGAGCAAGTGAAATGCAATGCCCCTTTGTATAGGAAGGGACAGAAATCTTCTTTCCTTTCCCTGGTGAAAAATAGTAAGACATCCAAGAAATACTGCCTTGAATTCCCTATTTCATCGAACATGCCTTTTATGAATCAACGGTAGCTGACTGAATAAAAATTCATACTTAGAAGAATACTGAACTGTATTCAAATAGTTGCTATCAATAAGAATGAAAAGATAATTCCTTAATATATAATTATTAATTCCTTATTAATTACCATTTACTGAGTATAGTAACTATTAGATATATGAGCCCCACACATTCCCTCCTAGAAATTATTGACTGCAAAATGGCTACCAAACGCTACCATAATGTGATTTATGCATTAAATTCATACCTTGTCCACCAGATTTAGGCAAGGTTCAGTCTCTCATTTTCTCTACATCTACTTGTTACCTTATCAGAAATGTCTTGCTTGACCACCATATGTAGCACCACCTCCATGGCTACACCCTGCCATCATGTGCTATCTGATTCTGCTTCATTTTCCCTCATAGTACTCTTCACTATCAAGCATGTTATTTATTGCTTTTTTTCTATCCTCTTCCACTACAAAGTGAGCTCCATTAGAACAGGCCTTTTACTTACGTGTCCACTGCCCTATCCCCAGTGTCTAGCACTATATGCCAGGCATATAGTAGGCATTCAAAAAATATTTGTCAATAAAGCGATTAAATGGCCATAAGTGATAGTCTTTTTTTTCCTTAGGAATAGAAAACTTAATTTAATATCATTTGATAATCCTGTATGCCAATCTATACAAAAAGTCTTATTTTTAAATATCATTTAATATAAAAGCACACTACCATTTAGAGATTTTTTCTAAACAGAAAGGACAAAATATCCTTTTAAAAAATAGTTGGGCTACTAACAATGGTAAATTATTTATTACTAAGTAATTCAGCAAATGTAATTTGCTAAAGTACACACTAAATTCAATACATTTAATTGTTTACTCTGCATACCTTAACAAGTTTCAAAAGCTCATAGAGATCTTCAACCTCATCACCTTCACATTTGGTGTACACTTGTCTTGTATCCAGGCTCCTTCCTCTTATGGTTCGCCGATAGAGGGGAAGAGCCATTGCTTCTGCATACAAGTCAATGGCATGGTGACCCACTGTTTGATACATGTAGCTATCCAGTTCATCAGACCCCACTGCAACAATTAAAATGGAAATAGCAAAAGAGAATGAAAAAGAAAGTGGATTTGAAAGCCCACCCAAGTTTTACCGTTTGAAGAGTAGTCGACTCAGAACTTAAAAGCTTACTATACTATATTTCTCTGCATTTATGTAGTGAAATAAAAACATAAGAATTGCACATTTGTCTGTAGTTGAATCTAATTCATATCAGCCCTAATCATCTCTACTAACTAATCATTTGTACTAACTACAAATACAAATATACTAATACATAAATTTGTTATAGCATATATGGCAAACATTTAAAGAGAAGAGTAATGTATCCAATAAATTTTGATTAATTTATTCGGTTAAAGATTTTTATTACATAAATGTTTTTACAAATCATTCAAGGTTATTCTTGAGGTCATCTAGACTTGTAGAAAAAACCTTTCTTAATTAAATATATACTTAGTTAATAAGTGATAAATATTGGTAAGAAAAAATTCAGATATATTTTATATTCAGATATTCAGTACCTTATAACAAAACATGTAAATATATATAAATTCAATGTTGTTAGAGCATTAGATCAGTTATAAATGTGCATAGAAACATGCTATCTTAAGCTAATCAGCAATATACTGAGTTGTCACAAGATTCACAAATATCAATATGGATAAATATTTCAAAACAGATGAGTCACATCAGAACTTTCGTGATTTAAATGAACTTAGAAATATACTGGAATAGACCTTTTAATCTCATAACTTTACTTTCTAGAAAAAGAAACATAAATAAATACAAAGAGTATTTGCAAAGATATTTATCACATTTATAATAGGCTAGAAATTATAGTATATTCATATAATAAAGTACTATGCAGCTATTAACATAATGTTGAAAAACATTTTCCAAAGTATGTTCTGTGGAATATAAATCCTCTAAGACATTAATAGGTATGGGATGATAAAATGATTTAAGGTCAAATAAGTTCATAAAACATGGATATAAAAAGTATTAAAAGGGGCCGGGCGTGGTGGAGCTGAGGCAGGAGAATTGCCTGAACCCAGGAGGTGGAGGTTGCGGTCGTGCCATTGCACTCCAGCCTGGGTAACAAGAGCGAAACTCCATCTCAAAAAAAAAAAAAAAAGTGTTAAAAGGATGTCTATGGCATAATTCTTCCTAGGCTAATACTCGTTCAGGTACTCTAACAAGAGCAGAGAATATGAACTAGTTCTCAAATTTATCTATCCACAGAACACTTACATTTAATGAGGGTATTTGTGTTCTAAAGATGTATGAGTAATGTTTTTGTAGAATAATATTTAATGATATAGAAAATGTTCATGAACCCTAAAAGGAAATCTAGGCAAAACGATTCAGGACATAGGAGCAGGCAAGGACTTCATGAGCAAAACACCAAAAGCAATGGCAACAAAAGCCAAAATAGACAAATGGGACCTAAGCAAACTCCACAGCTTCTGCACAGCAAAAGAAACAGTCTCTAGGGTGAATCGGCAACCAACAGAATGGGAAAAAATTTTTGCAGTTTACCCATCTGACAAAGGGCTGATATCCAGAATTTACAAAGAACTCAAACAGATTTACAGGAAAAAAACAAACAAGCCCATTCAAAAGTGGGCAAAGGATATGAGCAGACACTTTACGAAAGAAGACATATATGAGGCCAACAATCATATGAAAAAATGCTCATCGTCACTGGTCATCAGAGAGATGCAAATCAAAACCACATTGAGATACCATCTCACACCAGTTAGAATGGCGATCATTAAAAAATCTGGAGACAACAGATGCTGGAGAGGATGTGGAGAAAAGGGAACACTTTTACACTGTTAGTGGGAGTGTAAATTGTCCAACCATTGTGGAAGACGGTGTGGCGATTCCTCAAGGCCTTAGAAATAGAAATTCCATTTGACCCAGCAATCCCATTACTGGGTATATATCCAAAGGACTATAAATCGTTCTACTACAAGGACACATGCACACGAATGTTCACTGCAGCACTGTTTACAATAGCAAAGACCTGGAATCAACCCAAATGCCCATCGATGATAGACTGGATTGGGAAAATGTGGCACGTATACACCGTGGAATATTATGCAGCAATCAGAAATGATGAGTTCGTGTCGTTTGTAGGGACATGGATGAATCTGGAGAACATCATTCTCAGCAAACTGACACAAGAACAGAAAAATGAAACACCGCATATTCTCACTCATAGGCGGGTGATGAAAAATGAGAACACATGGACACAGAGAGGGGAGTACTAAACACTGGGGTCTATTGGGGGAAAAGGGGAGGGCCAGTGGGAAGGGGAGGTGGGGAGGGATTGCCTGGGGAGAGGTGCCAAATGTGGGTGAAGGGGAGAAAGCAAACAAAACACACTGCCCTGTGTGTACCTATTCAACTGTATTGCATGCTATGCACATGTACCCCAAAACCTAAAATGCAATAAAAAAAAAAGAAAACGTTCATGAAACGCTATTAAGCAAAAAGAAACAAAAGTAACACAGTAATTATTGTGACATATATCTGTGTATGTATGAATATAACCCAAACAGGTTCATGCTTTCCATTAAATGTGAAAATATCCTAACAAAAGGAATGAAAAATGATAGTATAGTGCTCCTTCAACAATCAAAATCATCAAAATGAGCTACCCCATTTTGGCTCACAGCTTTCTAAACTCACACATTAGACTGGCTTCCTTCAGAATATTACTCACATTGTTGTTATAAATGTGTCTACTCCTGATCCCAGTAGGAAATAAAGAACATAGCCAAGGTTACCTAAACACCTTTCGGCCCTCTCTCATCTCAAAGTAGACTGGATCTTTAAATATATTCATGTTAAAGGATATTTTACAATCAAATCAATTTATTCAAAGAAATTTGGGCTTCTTGGCAAGAAACATTCTGATGTTAGTATAGTAAGTAAAACATTTCACTGGCTTCAAAAACCTAGAAGATAATTTTCCTTAAGGCTCCATTTAATCCTAACCACATTGTAACTTTGATTAATGGAAGCTACATAGCAACAATAGTGTGGGATCAAATAAAACCAAAAGGCTCTCCTGTTGCCTGAAGCAACTCAATTAACATGCCACAAAAGTTCCTACTACAAATAGAGATAGTTTTGTGAATTTTATGACAAACTCACGTTATCCCCACTGATGGGAATAAATTCCTTTTCAGACTACCCACTGAAAACCCGTAACTTTCCTGGACACTGGAGTCATCTCTACCAGTCATTCTTCACTAAGGTTCTATTTGTAAGGGGAAAAGAAGTCATTCAGTAAATTGTTCAATAATCCCCAACTTCCTGTTGATTTTCATCAAGATTAGCTAAACCATCTCCATCTACCAACCCACATCCATTTTCTTTTACAATTACTATCATTTCAACTGCCTTTTTCCAGGCTTTTTACTTCAGAATATTCTAATTCCAATTACTATTAAATTTTTTCTCACTAAGAATATTCTAAATAAATGTCTCTATTCTACTGAGAGGTATACTTTAAAGATATACTTTGTCATTTTACCAACCTGCTGGTGAACCATGAACACAAGAAAGATTATATACTAATGGTTCTGTACAAGGTGAGTAAAATAATTCATGTGAAAGCTGAAGACAGAAACTTCAGCGATGGTAATTATAATATAGCATGTACATATTATATACTATATATAAAAATCTGCTTTTTAACTTCGCAAGATAGCTTAAAAGTCCCATCTGCCTCCCTGGCCACAAGGGGTGAGAAAGCTTCTTTCCTTTGGTAAACCTAAAAGGAGATTCTACTTCTTCTTTTATAACGCAGAAACTGGAGTGCAGCTCCTACTCATCCTCAAAGAATTTTCTCTTACTTAAAGTTGGAACTTTTTCAAAAATCTTTACTTCTAAAAAAAATCTGTTACTTATCAATTGCAACACAAAAACCAAGCATGTGCATTTACCTCTAACTCTCCATGGGACATTTCCATTTCTTCCTATAAAATATTCCTAATCTCTATCTTCCTACATGATTTCCAGCATTACTTAGGTCTTAATCACAGAGGAAAAGAAAATTCAAATATCTGACTGAAATAACTGCTCATGATTCCAGGGCTAATTCAAATTAGTTCATTATACAGCTGTCCACCAATCTTTGCATGAACTCCTACCAGAGGTATAGAACTGTCCCAAATGATGAGGAGCAATAACAGGAAGATAGAAGATATGATCTCTCCTCTGAAGAAGCTTATAATCAATCTATTTAGAGATATAAAACAAGTATTTAGTGCTAGATTCCAATTCAGCTAAATTTACAGAATGCCTACTTCATGACAGCAACTACGACTGATATTGTCACATATACTACTCATTTAATTAATCTTAAAATAACAGCAGTGCAAAACCATGGAGCCTGGAAAGAAGTAAAGAAGATAAAAAGATTTTACTAGAAGAGTCCTGTGAGAAGCAGTAATACAAAAGTCATACAAGTGCTAACCTTTTCTCCCTTACATTTCAGCAGTTAATATCTGTAGTTTCATAGGTATAACACAAGAGCATTAAAAAGCAAATTAGTGAATATATTTCTTTTACTCAAAAGTTATAATTGGAGATGTTTCAATTGGGGAAAAAAATGAAAAAAGTAGCCAATATAGCTCTGTGAATTATGTATGGATGCTCTTGTTACCACAGACAAATGAAAAGTGGAAATGTACTGCTTTATGCTTCTCTCAAGTCTCATATTTCTGGCTTACATCTAAATAGGTAAACTGTATCGTTTAAATAATAAAGTTTATGTATCATTTATCAATATGTACCTTACTTCTCAAGCCCCCTTGAGGCATGAGACTCTACCTTATCTACCTCTATACTGCCTACAGCACTTGGAAATGTGGTGGGGTAAAATGGCAAGGTACTTTGAAGTAAGAAAGTTCAAGTCTTAGCTCTACAAGTTTGTGCTAGTTTACCTCAGACAAACTCTAAGCTTCAGGATCCCTATCTATTAAGATTAGTAATACATCTCTACAGAAGTTGGCTATGAGAATTAAAAAAGAAGTAAGTAAAAACACTTAATACTAAGTTCTAGGTGGAACCTAGCATCTAATGGGTGCTGAATATATATTTTTCTTTTCATTTTTGTACTGTGTACCTGTACAATATAATTATGAAGTTGGAGTTTCATTCATTTAGGTAACTTCCCATTAAAGGCATGTATTTACCTTGGTTTTCAGCTGGTCTTAGATTTGCTAAAGCAACAATCTGATGTCCAGCAGCAATGCACTGCATCATATTATAGCAGCTGTCCTTCCCACCGCTAAAAAATAAATCAATAGACAAACATCATGCTACTGACAAATATTCAACATAAAATCACTAGATATCAAAACATTATTTACTCGACTTTTCAGAAAATATTAGAATGTAAAAAAATTAATTTCTAAATCATAAACAGCAGATTAATCTGAATGTCTAGGACTGCTATTCATGGGAGTTTAAGAAACTATATGCCTTTATAAAAGAATATTCTAAACAAAATATTGGTAACTTTTTGGTTTGTGATAGCAGCTTTACTTAATATATGAAGTGCTTTGCAAATAGAAAATGATTTCAATTTACACCCCAGCTAAACACTTATTATATAATTATATATGAAATATATATATATTCCACTTAAGAAATATATATGATAATATATATTATTCTACTTAAGGAATATATACATACTAATTTCATAAAATTATTGAAAAAGTAAAAAACAAAAAAAACTATTCTCTATGAGAAAGTGAAAAAAAAAATTAATTCTGCTCCACCAAAAGAAATTTAACAACTGGCGACCATTAGCAATTAAAGGAACAAATTAAAGACTTGAGTATCTAATGACAAAGTTTGACACACTTGCTGGGTACAAATTTTGTAGAGATGAAAAACAAAATGCTTACACTGATGATGTTAAACATCAGCACTATCAGTATTTCACCCATCACATACATACATATATTATACACGTACACATTTATATATATATATATATACATATGATGGCAAAAGAACAGGACTTGAGCTATAAATCTAATAACACATTGAAAGGAACTTCTAAATTCTGGTTTTAAATCTACCTAAGGCAGAGGCATATCACATAGTCAAGACAAGTAGTAGTTCATCTATAATATGAATGAATGGCAACCTATATGCTATTTTAGTTTAATATTCTACTACTTCCCACTATCATTATCATTGTCTCTCTCCCTTTTATATTTCTTTTTCCTCATGTTTCCCTTATTGCCAGATTTGCTTAAGGTCTGCAAATGTATCCCCAGGCAATGTTTAGACTTCTTCATAGCCCAAGAAACTGATGACCCCAGAAGCTCGCCCTCTTGCCTTTTGTCTTAGTTCTCAAACTTCCTGCTTCTTCCACTGTCCCATCAATAACAACACTTATTCCAAAACTTCTTGACGGGAAGGAGAGTGCAAGGGGCAAAGTGAAGTTTTAAAAAGTCCATTCTTTCTCTCTTCAGGTTCGGTACCCCGCTAAGTATGTCTTCCACACCCTTCCCCATCAAACCTTACTGCTCTGTTTCCCTAGGACAAAAAGGTAGCAACTAATTGTTTTAGATATTAAAGATTAAAGGGTGTGCATCCAGAATCAGAACTGAGACTTACAATTCATTTTGAAATATGCCAACATTTCAAATATGGTTTTAAGTAGTATTTACCAAACTGGGTTCTGTGGAACACTGGTGTCCAACAAAATATTAACCAATTATTCTATCAAAAGGTTTTGAATATCAGACAAGCTTGGGATATGCTGAGTACCTTACTGTCCTCTTAGAATTCCATTAAGTACAAACGTATGTTAGGTGAGAGGTCTTCTAGATCTGTTTTAGTTTCTATCTCTGGGATACTAAGCTAAGTTATTCAATGTGCTTGGGTTTACAGACTTCATTGCAAAATTAGTGAATGGCCTGCCTCGATAATCCTCAAAGTATCATTCAACTATAAAATTCAAAGACTCATTCATTTATCAAAAAAATAATGTTCTTATAAAGATATGTAAGAACCCCAGTTTCACATATTCCCTAAAACACCCACACACACATCTCATCTCCCGCTGTTGCACACACATACAAATCACAAATAAATTCACCGTGTTCACCTGATAATATAGGTATTATATAATTATAAGTAATGCATATATATAGAATACATAGGCATCTATATCATAAGCATATAGGTAAATGTTTATATAGTCATACTTACAGCATATCTCCTAACACAGCTCTTACGCTTTAGCAAGAATTTTCCAACATTGCTTTTATTAGTAAATTATTATTTTTATTATACAGTAACATAGGCACATTACAGGTTATTTAGTATAACTGACTATACCAATCTTCTCCAATACTTCTAAGTATTTCGTTGTTGTGGATTACTTTAATCGTTAAATTTTTGGTAAATGATTTAAATTTGAATTATTCACTTCCTGGGGTACTTTTAATTCTTAAAATAAGACACAGTGGTTAAAGCTTAATCATTCATTTTAAGAAGACATGTACTGAAAAACAATAATTATTGTGACATTATGGTCTAGCCTGCTAAAAATGACATTGAAGGAAAGGGAACCAGAATATTCCAGACACTACAGTAGGGTTAGAAATGTTGTATCAAGTCCTTAATAGGTCAATACTTAATAGCTAGTATCAGTTACCTAGGGGACTTAATGAAAACGTTTATGAATTTTTCAATGGGCTTACAAAGCAAACACATCGTTGCACTGTATCTCAAACACTCTACAGGGCAAAATCTCATGAAACAAGTATCTAAGTAGTCCAAACTAACTTTTAAATGTTGCTAGTGTGTTCCTTTCTGCCTCAGTTAATAGATTGAGTATGGAAATATTTAAGCAGGCTTGTTTTTGGTTTGTCAGTCATAGGATTATTTAGATACTTAAAGATGATTTGGTTACTATAGACATCAAACTCCTTTTGGAATACAAAGTATGCTAGGGTAAGGTCACTCTAAAGCAATGACCAGAGTCCGAAGCAACAGCAACGTATCTAGAATAAGATTCGTACAACTCCGTCTCTACCACGAAGAAAGAGATCTCTGTTCTTGAGTGCTCAAAGGCAGAAACACATACATGCCATAAGCAATCCACATCTGTCCTGACCAGTCATACAGGTGGGGCAGAAGATGAGAGAGGGGTGGACTTCTTGGGAAGGGCGGAACCACATCCGACTAGGAAGGAAGCTAGGCTACGAACGACCCAGCTGACCCTCTTCAGAAGAGGACGAAAAAGCGAAAGGGAAAGGGTGAGGGTTATTAACCGAGTTGGTGGAATAAGGTAATGGCTCCAAACTTCATCGCTCATTAGAGTTTTTAAAAAAATCAGATGCTGGTCCGCGCAGAAGTAATTAAACCAATCCTTCTGGCGGTTAGGGCCCAGGCGTCAGTATTTTTTTTTTAATTCCCCGGGTAAATCCAATGGGAATCCAAGTTTGAGGGCCGGAAGACTAGAGCCACCAACAGACAAGGAGGAGGCGTGTCAGCCCCAGACCGAGCCACCAGCGGGCCGGCAAAAGCCCGAAGGCTCCGCCTCTTCTTGTGGCTCGGAGGAGCCGCAGAACCCGCAGTGCTCGGCTCGGGCAGAGACACCCTCTTTTTTGATCCCATCGGCGGCTGGAAGGGACGAGAGGCTGGCCTAAGAGGAGGGAGGCGGCTCAGGGGCCGCTTTACCTGATCAGAGCCGCGACCCTCATGCTGGGCGCAGTGCGCGTGCGTGCGGCGAGCGAGGGCGGGAGGCGGGAGGTCTTCGCCGCCGCTTGCGTGACGCGCCGCTGGGCCTCGCCCGGGTGTTCGCTCGGCCGCCTGTCAGCGAATCGGCGGTGCAGGCCCCACAGCTGCCTGCGGGACACCTCAGCGCGGAGGGTGCGGACCTTGGCACCTTGACCCTGTGGCAGGGACATTTCGGCCCAGGCAACAATGATATTTAGGCACGGCCTAACCACCTAAGTGAGGGCACTGAAGCTGCGGAGGAAGGGCAAGCCCCGCGTAGCAGAGCCCAAGCCTGGTGGCGCTGGATTTGTTTTGGTAAGAGAACATTTAGCGTCCCAAACGCTGCAAGTTGACACACTTGTGGACGTCCAGCCACAGAAGTTTGCCTTTCCTCCCCCATCTACCCTAGAAACAACTGTACACACATGCTTTTTAATGTGTATCTGCTCTGCCCTCCAAATCTGTGGGTCCAGATGTGAAGCTGAGATCCCCAGGGACTGTGGTAATTTTTAAATCTGTGGCTAGCTCCACCACCTCTAGGCCCCGTAAGGTTTTGGCTCTTGTTCCAGCTTCTGTATTTGACAAAGTCAGAGCAGGCTCTTCACTAAAGAGCAGTGGCCTTGCAGAAAGGGAATCTAGCTTCTAAGTTTATTTGCCAAGTATCTATTGAGTGCCTTTTGTGCACCAGGCACTGTTTTAGTCTCTGTGGATACAAGTGTAAATAAAACAAAATCCATTCCCGGCATAGAGTTTAAATGGGGATGGGGAGAACAGACAATATATAGCTTAAAAGTAAATGTTAAAGAGTGAGAAGTGCTATTAGAAAGGAGCGGGGGGTATGAGACAGGTGGAGAGGCAAACTGCAGAATTAAATAGGGTCTATGTAGGCCTTATTGATGATGTGAGAGTTGAGCCAACTTAAATAAAAAGAGTTAGCTGTATATATGATTAGGGTGTGCTCCAGACAAGAGAAAAACAAGTCGAAGACTCTAGGTGCCTGGTGTGTTCGTGGAAGAGATTGAGCAAAGCAGAATAGTGTGATAGGAGGTTAAGGTGATGGAGGGGAAAGATCATGTAGGGTCTTGTAGGTCATTGCAGAGTTTTGAAGAGGTGTGACTTAAAATTTTAAAAGGTTTGCAGTGTTGAGAATACACCTATTAGGAAGCTGTTACAATGTTTGAGTAGAGAGATGACAGAGCCTAGAATCAGGACAGTGAATTTGGGGATAAGTGAGAGGATTCTAGCTCTATTTTGAAGATAGAGCCAACAGAATCAGATTAGATATGGGATAAAACAGAAAGTCATGAAGAACGATACCAAAGGCATGAATTAAGTAAGTTAATATATGTAGGAAACTTAGAATTATGCCAGGTACATTGTAAGCGTTCAATGTTATTTTGATGTTCTCAACTCACTATGGGTGACTAGAGCAGTGACAGTCTGCATATCAGTTTCAGCATCTGGAATCATACAGCTTTAAGATTTTGCAATTATGAATATTTGCCAAATGAGTCAAGTATTTAAGAAGTTTGCAGTCTATTTGGAGGAGATAAATACATGGAAAACACACTTAAAATGATAGGGCTCTGATGAGTGAAGGAACACCAGGGCTCTTGTCTCACACCAAATTGGATAAAATGACACAGACACGCATGGAATGGTTTTAAGGAATGGAAAGTTAATAGGCAAGAAGGGAGAAGAAAGAAGGAAGAAGCTCCTGTGTACAGACACAGAGGGAGAGGGGCTTCAAACCCTAGAGAGGAAACCCCAAGTGCCAGGGATACCAGTTAGATAAGGAGGCTGGAGGAGGTGGTGTCTGATTCGCATAGGGCTCAGGAGATTAGTTTGACCAGGCACTGTCATTCACATAGCCTGAGAAAAAACTGGCCCTCCCACCCTAGCCTTTTAATATGCAAAGCAGGGCACCTTCATGTTCTACACTTGTGGGGTTATATGGGGGAAAGGGTGAGAGGACAGCAGTGGGAATCACCATGTTTGTGTGGACCCAGTTTCTAATGGCCAGCATTTGCATATCAAAGGTTGCTAGCTGGCTGTTAGAGCCTGGGCTCTCCTGCTAGACAACAAACATTTCTGGAGCTGCTTTAAAAAACAAAAACTTTCCAAGGACCCCTTTTCCTATCTGTCTAAAATAATTTTTTAATCCTATAATAGTAATACAAGAGAACATATTTTGAAAGTAACAAGTTATGTAATGCATATGGAATGAGGATGGGACTTGAAAGATGAGTGGAATTGAATAGGAATAGGTGGACCTTCCAAACAAAGACAGCACAACAAGAATGAGCATGGTGTACTGGACACCAGTGAGTAGACTAGTTTGACTAGTTTGGAGGGTATATTTGAAAGAAGGAAAAATAAGTTGGATAAATAGGATGAAGCCAGATTATCCAGGGTCATGGAAAACCAAAATGAGGAACTTCAAAACCAGGCAGGTTACTCTGGCTCTTTGACATCATTTTTCAGGAGATTGTGTGAAGTAGCAGAAATTAACATGATGAGTGATTTTGATAAAATAGGGACTCCCAAAGATGCCAATGGATAGCTTTTCCACCAAGGGAAATCTTTTCCTTGCCACTTCCCAAGAGGAATTAAGAGAGGAGATTCTAAGGTTACCTTCCTAAAACTACGTCTTTAGAATTACATTTTTGTTTCTCTCTGCACTCTGTAAGCTTCATTTTAAGACATCCTTAACAGTTTTATTACAGTGTGTATATCCTGGCATTAAACTGTATCTTAGGAAATATGTTGAGGCCATTTTCCAAGGTCACCCAGTTTTTAGCTTGATGGTGGTGCTTTCCCACTCTAGATTCTTCCTAGTACCTTGTATTAAGTATCTCTCCTCCAGGTCGTTTTTACTCCTTGAATAAAATTTATCTCAGTACCTATTCCCTCCTTTTAAAACTTTCTACCAGAATTCTTTCAATTAATGATTTTTTTCTGGTTGCCTAATATAACACTGCAATGTGTGTTTTCTTAAAATTTTTATATTTCTTCACATTATTGCCTTTCTCTCAGAATTACTATAAAAGGCTCTGTGCTTGAATGTTCTATCAAGGCCATCATAAAAACAGTAGGTTCAATTCATCCTGGTACAATAGATATACCGATATTTCTGAAATTAATATATGTCAGATTGGTCTTGACCCAGCCATCAAAGTTATTCTTAGATTCATACATATTTTTGTAGAAGATTTGTTTTCATAGCTAACTGAACAAAACCAGAGCAATTATTTACCCCTGAAAAACTTGTTAAGAACTAGAGGTTAAGCTATGCTCTAACTTTTCCCATTGAGAATCTTTCTTAAATCAGTCTAGTCACCTTTGTGTCATTTTCTTTTGCTGAAATTTAAAAACAACACCTAGTTTGTCAGTTACAGGTTTCTGAGAATTACATGTGCAGGAGATTAGAGAAAATCCCTGTGAAGGACAAAGAGATGAGCAAGAGAAGGCTCCAATTGGAATGCAAGGTCAAAATCTGAAAAAGCAGAATGGGAAGGAAGAATAGGTTGAAAGAACTGGTTTGCAGGGTCATTCTGAGAGACTCAGCTAGGTCAGGAATCCTAAGCCAAAGTAGTGAATTAGAGGAATTCCAAATCGGTCAGGAATTGCCCAGTTCTCTTATCTCTGCTATGCTCAGTCACTGTCTCAGAGCAGTGCAGGAAAAACAGTCTGGTGGAAACTCAGTGGTGAATCCAAAAGTGCAGTAGCTAGAGACTGTAAATCAGATCCTAACAACTGATTTTTTTGTGGTGTCACTTCATGATTTCTGTAAACCTCTCTAAGGATAAACTTAGAAAAGGGAAGTTAATAGGACAAACTATCATTGCAGGTGGTCTGGGACCACGCTAGTACCTACCCTGTCATCCACTCTCCACTCTATATTCCCCTCACTCTCAGCTCTCACTTCAGCAGATGGTATTGACTTACTTGGTGGCATGATCTACACATTCACTCCTAAGTGGTCTTGGGCCTTTGTCATCATACTCTTCTCAGTCCATGGCTGCAGTTTGTGTCCATTCACAGTTATAATTAGTAAGGGCATACTGAGAGGCATCCAAGTGGATCATCTAGGTTCTACATGTATTTCTATTTGTCCCCAAGGTATAAAGGCAGCCCCACCTCCTCATACTAATCCATTATCCTTGTTTGCTGACCCCTGGCTGCAAAGAGCCAAAAGTATTCTGCTACGCATAGCTTATAGTTCAGCGTGTAGTACCCCTTGGCAAGAGAGAAAACTTCTAACTGTACTCAGCTCAGAGTTGGGGGAGGTGAAACAGAGTTCTCCAGTGAGTTATTGGGAGTGATTGTAAATATAGCCATTTGTGATTTCACCTTTTGGTTCCTAGATCCATGTATTTGTCCTACTAAAGACACAGTGCCATGTGGAAATCTCTGATTAGTGCCTGTGCTAAATACTGAGAGATGTCATGCCATCCTTGCAGATTACTGTCTCTGAGCTGCTAATGTAGCTGTGACTTAAGTAGGTTTTTTCTGTACTCTATGAGGCCAACTTCACCTAAATGGTACAGTATATGATCCAATAATTAGACCCCATGGATACGACCTACTCTGCTGTACCTCCTTTTCAATGAAGTTTCTTGCAGATGTTCTGCTGAGTGGGATTCTGTGACAGGAGAGGCATTCTGCTAGTGGTGCCAGCTAAATCCTTACAAACAGGAAAGGCCAGGATCCAGTACCTGTTCAATCAAAGCCCAGGAGCAGCCAGGGGAGGCATGGCTTGACAGGAACCCCACAGTGGATCCAAAGGTGTGGCAGTTGAAGACTGTCAGTCAGCTGTGCTCTCCACAGCAGGTGCCTTTGAGGGGAGATCTAAGTGGAACACCTGTAAGGCTGCCAGAGCAAGACAATAACTCTCACAAAATCACATGAGGAGTGGAGACGTTTGGAGTGCCTTGCTGGAGTAAGAAATGTAGAATAAAGAGTTAATTCACACTTAGAATAGTACTTGAAATAGAACCAACCTACATTTGTGAAAGTCTAAATTATAAACAATAGTATTTTTAAGGAAATGCTTTACTTCCAAACATATATACTAATCTTAAGCATACTAACATATTGATATTGAATGCTGGCTAAG